AAACTTCTAACTCACCAGGTAAATGAACGCGATAAGCATAAGCATTGTTCGCGATAAATATCTATGTATGTTCAGTTCTGGCATCCCTTTTATACAGAGCCGCCAGTATTATAAAAAGATTTGAGGTTCCATTTGAATGGAATACAGTCACGATTGCAAATAAAACAACCTTTGTTTGCGGGCATAATTTTTTTGCTTCTGTGTGTCAATCTCCTATTTGATGGCTAAATAATGCCAAAACGAGAATCGAGAATCTCCTGCCACCGTCGACTAAATCCCTCCATATGGATGGCAGCAAAATCAACATATTTAAGTTTGCGATGCCCTCACACCTGGAAGTTGTATCGGCAAACAATTTCACAGCTAGGGTTTCTACAAAAATAGAATCTGCCTTCTTAACTGTTGACTGTTAACCTCGCTTATCTTGTTGCAAAATCCTTCCGGCGCTACAAACGCAATTCAGGGGCAAGTGAGTGTGATGCACTAGTCTTGAAGGGGGAGAACGCTTAATCGCAGAGGGCAAAACGGCATGGATGTCATTTTAATTATGGTGATGTGGAAATGGAATCACTTCCCAGTATTTTTCACAGCCATAAAGTGCTTGTTCTCTTGATCATAATTTGGAGGTTTTCATGCACAACGCTTCTTTCTCTGAATGACATTCGAGGTGGATTTCATCGTCATAGTTCAGCAACTAACTAGTACAGAAACTGTGCTCGGCGTACTCCAACATTCGCTTGTTGGCTGACAATGTTTGCCGCAGAATTGTTATATCGCCAGGTCAAATCTAGAGGCTCCAGAAATCTTTCATAACTCACTCTTCTGCGTCGCTCTGATCAGAATTTCGCCGGAAGTCAACGTGTTCGATAAACACTGGAATTATCGTTCTGGGAGAGGTAATCATTTACCGCTAACATGGTGGAGAAAGATAACATGCGTTTGATTTAGATCTAGTTTCATAATTTGAAATATGGAAGTTCCTGAAGTCCCGAAAATTCTTGAACACCTTATTATCGCGCTCCTGATTATTTCAAAACCTTTCGCTTTTGCGGCGCAAAAGAATCTTCCAGTGAAATAAGAGCCGCACTAATTACAGGCCATTCTGTCCTTTTTTGTAAGAATCTTGCTTTGGAGTTTCCGTCAGTGATCTCTCGAACCTTTGCTGTCATGGAGGAATTCATCCGGATGTAGCAGGAGATTCTCGATGTTCGATTTGGCATTGTTCACTCAATCAATGAGAGGATGATGCACAGAAAAGAAAAAATTGTATTTGTGAATGATGGCTACTTCCTCTGCCATCGGTACTGCTTTCCATTTAGTTGGATTTTGCCTTCATCCAGACTTGAATCGTAGGCAATCACATTTTACTGGAATCACACTTAATTAAGGTTTGTTTAGTGGGAAGCACTTCAAAATCGATCCACTCGAATGAGCAACAAATTAGTAAACTTCTGTTGGAGTGTCCCGAAAAATCGCAGTTTCTGAATACGTTCGCGAAGACTTTTCAAAGGCATCACGTAAAAAGTCCCTACTATATATAAAGCGCTAAGTCTGTCTGTCTGTCTGTGTGTGTCACGAAATTCATAGCACGCGTCGCAGCAGTCGTCAGGACTTGATTCTGAGAAATGATATGGGGGTGGGACGGGAACATGGTTGATGGGGGTCAGAAAGTGATAACGGCTGATAAGATCCGATAATAGGCGCCGAAACGCAAATTCTCACGATATCCATAGCGCGCGTCAAAGCTGTAGAGGGGAGTTGGTTCAAGGAAGTAATGTGCAGGGTGGGACGGGAACATGATTGGTGGGAGTCATAAAGTGATAAGGACTGTTAATGGCGATATACGTAACGACATAGAAATAGCTTAAAACCAAATACTAGATAAGAACCAAACTCATTTCTTTCCTTCTTCGTCGCGTATTATCGTCTCGAAATCCATTCGACCGCTACTCTTTAGAAGCTCTTAGAAATGTATGGACTGAGTTTTTGTATCTTAACACCATTAGCGTCAAATATCATCCAACCGCTAAACTACCTTGATATTTAACGCATGGTGGTTGTTTACATGCAGCACTTTAGCTTCGCACTCTATCGCGCCTATCAAACGGTGAACTTCAGCAAAATGGGGAGATGCTATGGGAAGGTCGGCTGGCGCATTTTCCGATGCAACTTAGGGTTGCATTCTTTAGCGGTGGGATCTAATGTTGCACAGGCCATACATTTTCAACGAAGCCTACTGTGTCACGTGCGCGGTAGCGTGCGGAGCTAAACTGGTTTCCTATATATTAGGTTGTAAGGAAAGTTCTGGCCGTTTTCGACAGTACAAGTTTCATGACATTATTTCTAGCAAACTTTCCGGCAGACTGCTGCGAGTTGCATATCATTAGAAAGTGCGTTTCTTGCTCTATCCAAATCCGCGGTAAGCTTTGCTCAATAGGGACTGGTCCCACTTTTTGAAAGCCTTGAATGCAGCATGCTCACCAAGCCAATCCTCACGATTTTCTTCTTCTACCTCGAATTAGGGCAGAAAGAAGCGGAATCAGCTTATGATATAAATTATTCGTTTGGCCATGCATTTGCAAAAAATAAGCCATGAAGTTATAGTTTGGAGAGCTTGTATAGGGATGGCGATAGCCTCGAAATTGGCGATAGTGATCGCTGGATTTCGAACTTCGGTAAAAATTACGTGAAACTTTTGATGGGATCAAATGTGCTTCAAACAATTAAGAAGACCGCTACCAAATTGGGCGCATTCAATTTATGGTTTCAAGTTACATGGGATAGCTTAAGAAGCACGGGAACGTCGATAAGGAGGGTGTTGCGAAAAATCGCGGTTCCGTGGGACCATCTGCCTTTCTTCTGCAATCTTTCCTCCAACGAAAACGACCCGTTTTTTGTCCGGATCGTGACTCCCCTTGTAGAATGGAGTCTTCTCAATAACCCATGAACTTCGGATGAGTTGTTCGGTCATGACTATGGTCAACAAAATTTCGCAAAGGTGAAACTGAGCATGTTGCATTTAATGTTTCGAATAAGTGGGAGTAGTCCCTCTAAAGCAAAGCTTGCAGTGCGATTAGATAGAGCAAGAAACGTGCTTCCTAACGATATGTAACACGTAGCAGTCCGTCGAAACCCTAGCCAGAAATAATGCCATGGAGCTTGAATTATCGAAAACGGCCAGAACTTTCCTTACGACCTAATAAGCGGCTAAGCGCGTTGTGTGTGTGTGTGTGTTTGTCTGTCTGACCGGAAATTCATAGCTCGGGCACCAGTGGTCGTCAGGAGTTGGTTTCAAGATATGATATAGGGGGTGGGACGGGAACATATTTGGTGGGGTAAAGAAAGTGATCACAACTGATAAGGGCTGATAAAAGGCGCTAGAACGCAAGTGTCGCGAAATTCATAGCTCGGGCACCAGTGGTCGTCAGGAGTTGGTTTCAAGATATGATATAGGGGGTGGGACGGGAACATATTTGGTGGGGGTCACAAAGTGATAACGACTGATAATGAGCAGATAAGAGGCGCTGAAACACAAATTTCACGAAATTCATAGTGCGCTTCGCAGCAGTCGTCAGGAGCTGATTTTGGGACATGATATGAGGGTGGGACGGGAACATATTTGGTGGGGGTCACAAAGTGATAACGACTGATATGAGCAGATGAGAGGCGCTGAAACACAATTTTCACAAAATTCATAGTGCGCTTCGCAGCAGTCGTCAGGAGCTGATTTTGGGACATGATATGAGGGTGGGACGGGAACATATTTGGTGGGGGTCACAAAGTGATAACGACTGATATGAGCATTGAGAGGCGCTGAAACACAATTTTCACAAAATTCATAGTGCGCTTCGCAGCAGTCGTCAGGAAGCTGATTTTGGGACATGATATAGGGTGGGACGGGAACATATTTGGTGGGGGTCACAAAGTGATAACGACTGATATGAGCAGATAAGAGGCGCTGAAACACAATTTTCACAAAATTCATAGTGCGCTTCGCAGCAGTCGTCAGGAACTGATTTTGGGACATGATATGGGGGTGGACGGTAACATATTTTGTGGGGGTCAAAAAGTGATAACGACAGATGAGGACTGATAATTACGATATGCGTACGAACGTAGAGATTACTCGAAACCAGATTGCAGATAATGCATTTCATTTTGATAGTGAATACTGGGCATTCCGTCTTGAGATTACCAAAAATTATTCGACCGCTAAATTTCCTCGATTCTCGATGCATGGTGGTTGTTTACATACATCACTTTAGCTGTGCACTTCACTGCGCTTATCAAACAGTGAGATACAGCCAAGATGGGCAACGGACAGTAACGGACAATAATGCATTAGCGAAGCAGCTATAGTTAAGCGGTGTGAAACCCAAAGCGTCACCGATTATCAGAGTTTTGTCGGAGGCTTCCGTGTCATGCGTGCGGTAGCGGGCGGAGCTAAACTGGTATTTGATATGCTAGCAGATACCCACAATGCAAGCTCCGAACGAGTTGTTCGGTTTTGATTGCAGTTCTTGGGAAGATCTGGTGCGACTTGTCTGAACACACGTATTTATCACATATAGAAGGGGTCGGACCAAAGCGCTCAGGAGGAACGTGGGGGGGGGGTTGAAAAAAATCTCCGGAAAGTAACAACGGTGGGGTTGACCCTGGCACGCACTTTCCCATCACTATCACCCAATCTCGCTCAGGTATGCACAACCTTCTTAGGACGGCGAGAGAGAGGGACATGAACCTGAACCCTCTCGAATGGCCATGGCTGCTTTGTCGTTGACGCTTAAGCTGAGTTTGGATTGTAATCTATGAGAATGCTTTCAGAAAAATTCCCGCCTCAATGTGAGGAGTGCTTATGTTATGAAGTGGAAGTCTGATTCCGCCCCCCCCCCCCCCCCCCCCCCCCCGATGGTGCCAGTGCTTAACTTCCAGAGCACTCTATTTTTCAAATCTTGATCTCTGACAAAAAATATTCAAGTTGATCAGATGACTGAAAACATTTATTTCCACATCGCTTTCAAGCCAGTGAAATGATCGACGGTGGACTCGTTTGGGTTCTTCATCATGTGTGCCATCACCATTTTGCGACTTCTCTTCTCCACCACGGAGTAGTAAATGAGAGTGAGGTTTATGAAAACGATCCGCCAAGCACCAAACTAAAAAAAACAAAGGGTTTTAACACGAGCGATCTACGACGTTATTTGAAATAGACATATTCTCTGACAATAAACTCCTCTGTGACCAATTTGCCAAATTAGTTTTCAGCGGCAGTCTTCGAGAAAAATGGACAAAACGTTTGACAGTGAGAGATTGAAGTGCAGTGTAATGTCTTTAGTTACCCTACAAAATCATTCACAATGATGCGCCCTCAGCGGCTGAGAATAAATATATTTTTGCTTGTATTCGCTTCACATGCGTTGATTAGCTATTTTTCGTTACCGTTATCAGGTTATCTGTGGTCTTAAAGGCACGAGTCGGGATTGAATTGATGCGTTATTTTGTTCAAACATTAGGCAAGGGGTGCAATGAGGAACATTAGTGAGGAGAAAAAGCAAAAAGCACCATAGAAAACACTAAATTTCCCTTAGGAGGCCGGCCGTAGTACGACGGAGAGACACAGCGCTGCGAGGAGAGGGAGAACGCGAGATAGTACGTCGTACGCGAGAGGACGCAGAGACCACGTATGCCGTGGTGGATTACGCTGGCAGCGCGGGCAGCGCGGCGGGCAAGGCCTTAGCGCCATTGCCGCGCATTTTTAGGTCGCGATAGTGTCGCGCCCTGGGAAGAATTCTGCTGTTGCTCAATCCTGACTTACTAAAAATAACAGTAGGGAATCAAAGTGGACAGTTAGTTATGAGGAAGAAAAGAGAATTTTGGTCCCATGTAAGAATTGAATAAAAAAGCCGCTGGGCGACGAAGCGAGAGGACAAGTGAGAACGTATGGGGAAAGAGAGATTTCAGATCACTGCATCGCGAGCATAAACTCAGGTTGTCACCGCAAGCGATAAGGCTCACATGTCATTGTCACACACTTTGGAGCACCAAAAATGGGAAATGATCAGTGTGCAACACTCATATTGTTCCCCGGCAACCGCCGGAATCTCCCTTCCTATGTAAGCTTTCACGCCTTCCACTGTGCTCCTTTCCTCCTCTGACAACAATACCTCTTGGAGGTGAAGCGTATGCACAAAAACATGTTTTATATTTTGGAGGCCATCTTAACTATCATGACACGACGCTATAATAGCGTCTCAATTACTTAAAGCGAAGTACTACGATAAGGTTGTGTTGGGTTTGTAGAGGAAGTGGAGAAGCTATTAGGTTGGCAAGATCGAAATGTCGCTTCCGTTTGTGCCTTTGTTTCTCAGCTTAAACACAATCTTTAGGATGGGAGACCATTCATTCGAGAGAGCGATTCAGCACGCATATTGCTTAGGCGCCACTGAGCGGATGTTCTTCGAGCCAAAACTTTTGCTCGAAGATGACTGATCAGAAAACATCGTCTGAGCGTATATATTCAAGCAAGGAAAAACGGCCAACGAATCCCACTCATTGTGTGCAAAACATTGAGCAGTAACACTTAGTCTCTGCATGCTATGGTTTCAGCTCTTCCAAGACTGAGGTAAAGGACCTGAGACGAAGATCGTGGATTTTGACCTCTAGCTCTACATGACGGAGATGTAAAAATAGCCATTGCTCCTCAACAGGAAAATTCAAAAGTTCTTATGTGCGACTGTTAAGGCCTTTCAGGATAGAAAATGGGTTCGGCCTATTCTGAGCGACGCGAGCAAGCAGTACTGGTTGCCAATACTGGAACTTCGCTCCATAACTTCAAGAGGAAAAAGGTTCTTGACTTCATGTTGACCGCATTTTACAAAGAGATGTTTCCCAATAACAACGCGAGAAGATGACCGTGGTTGGCGGCTGATGGGCAGCTGAGGGCCTCTCTGAAACCGGACATCCACTGAGAAAAAGTCGTGCTACGGTGTGGTGGAACAGTATAAGACTGGCCTACTATGGAGAGCTGATTGTGGGTCAGACAGTTACAGCTGAAGCCTGCGCACAACAGCCCGCCCGCGTGGACCGAGCTCTGCGTCGTCAAGGGGTGAATTCGGCCAATGTAAAACTATTGCACCATAACGGAAGACCACATGTCGTGAAAATCACGCAACAAGAAATCGAGGACTGGGACGTTCTACCTCCAGCGCCATATAGCCCAGGTCTGGCGCCGTCCGACTATCACTGACCCAGGTCACACTCCTTAGCAGCAAACCAATTCGATAACCGCGACGACGTCAAAATTTGAGTGCCCAACTTCTTCGAGTCGAACCAGAAAGAGTTCTACGCGGTAGGCATCCATGCTTTGCGTAACGAAAGGTGATGAGCCTGTGACACAGGTGAAGGAGATGGTTCAGGTTGATGTGCTTCATTATTGTTTTTATAATGAAAATAATTGATGATCGAAAACGACATTTCAATCTGATCAACCTAATATATAATGCTCCACTGGCTAAAAAAACAAAGAAATCCGTCAAGAACGCGCAAAATGGGACCCTTTCTTTGCCCGTTGACCTCCGATAATGGACGAGCTAGCAACCAATTAGGAGGTCGTTTGCACATGTTATGCTGATAGCCTCTATCATTTCAGCAAGATCATGCTTTGATTGATAACGCATTCCATGGAAGTTATAGGATACACGCTCGAAGTGAAATACAATATTCATCCAAATAAGGACAACGATGCTGCTAGTAACACTAATGGGCGGAGCACAGTCGACGAAAGCGGAGCTCAGGGAGGTTGGCAGCCCCAGGGCGGTGAAAAGCCCACATCTCGCTTCATTAGGCCCCTGACTACCGCTTCCACTGGTGCATACTTCCAGCTTACACACGCATTCTATCGTAATCTCTCACCCTTGTCCTAATGAAGCACTGAGGCAGCTAAGAATTACTATGTGGGCTGAGAGTGAAGGCACGCGCGGAGAACACAGACGGCTCGCGCGGGGAGTGTGACCGATCAGGCGAAGATCCTCGACGTGCCGTAGAGCAATCCTCGACCGATATCAACCCTGGCTCGTATGGCGTGTGTAAATGAGACCCTACAATTGACAACTCTATTTTGCTAATCTGAGACAAGGGAATTGATTGCCATTTCTTCCAAGTTCCTCCTTATTTGTTCTACTTCACCACGATGAGCGAGGTTAGAAAAAAGAGGAGTGCATAACGAAAAACAATCTGAATTCACCAGAAACTGACAGTATCGACGAGGTGCACGAGGACGTCGTCGGACGCAATAACTTCGGTGTTATCCCGTCGAAGCATTAGGAATCCTATGATGGACATCGCCACTATGCAAATTGACTCATTCACCGATATGGAGAGATAGATTGGAGACGTTCGATTGGTCTCGGCTACTTGAAATCTTAAATGGGAATTATTTAGCTGCCACTGCTGTGAAGCGATAGGAGAACTAGCTGGGACTGACCGTTGACCAAGCGATGAATTTCTGTTTTTCCAGAGTTGTTTTGCTCGATTCCAGACAATGATGGCTATCTAAAAGAAATCAATATAACAAAAATTTGAACAGTAGCGCGAGAGTATGGTGGAGCGAAAGACAGAAGGTAACACAGTGGTGGCTGCTTTTTGCAGCTGGCCTGCGCTGTTGCTTGTGGTTGCAAGATTTAGGACCCCTACTATGCAAGCTATACATTTTGAGTCGCAAATAAACGACACATCTGTGGCTGCGAACCCACCAACCTAACGCGGAGAAGGTCTCGGCACAATGATATAAGTCGAGGCATGTGCCTTTAAGCTCACCCACAACAAAATACCACAAGGGTTTCGAAATAATCACTTCTTTTGATGCTGGGGTTAATATGCCAACGATAGAGGGTGGGGGCAGTGCAGTCGCCGCCGCGGCGTGCGTCATGTTCGTGTTCTTTCAGCAAGATAGCGTGTGCACACATTTCAGGTTTTTACGCATGTCAAGTAACTTCCCATCCCAACCTCCCTGCCCCCGCTGAACTACCTAAATTCCCCCTGGCTCACTGATTCTCGTCCTACACTGAAGGACGCGAACTTCCGAAGGTCGCGGCGGCGACTGCCCTACCTTTAACTGCATGGGTAGCTTTTTGGAAATAACCTCGGCCATGGGAGGCATTTCTGACTTCGTTGGGATTGTCACCCTCTGTATTTCACAATTACCTCTGACCGCAATACATATTAGGTTGTCTCATAAGTAGTGTCGCTTTTTTTAAACCAAAAAAATTTCACCTGAATCCTGATGCTTTTACATCGTGTTATATACC